ACAAGGACTCGCTGCTGACACGTGGAGTGGGGTCGAGGCTCAGCTCGCGGGACAAGAGCCCGACCCACAGGCAGGCCGTGAAGCCAAGCCAGTCGCTTTCAAAAAGCTTTTGTTGGGGCCCTGGGGTCTGGCCACTCGAGCTGGGACTCGGCCCCGGCAGCGGCACCTTCTGCTCTGTGCTCGGGGCCGCGCGACGAGCTTCAGGCTGCGGAACAGCCACCAGGACACCTCGGCAGAGTCCCTCCGAACAGGGAGCCTGAGCACCTCAAATTTATGTCCCGAATCTCTGTTCAGATTAAAAGTAACTCTTCAGCTTTCCATCTGCACAACTGCTATGAAGGAGAGGAGGGGGTCAGTCAGCCAATTTATCTTTCAAATCGGGGATAAAAATTGACTTGTCATGGCAGAAAATTCTACCAAAGACTATTATTGTTGATTGATTCCTCTATGACAGAAGGTCAGATAAGCAAGAGCAGATAGATACCAAAGATAATGAACTTCCCCCTACTAGCATTAAGCACAAATAAAATATGAGCCCCTGTAAACCGAATGTTACGTGAAGAATGGAACAAAAATTCCAACCTTTCCAGGGTGTCCTTCAAACCAAATTCACAAATACATCTAGTGACTGACCTAACGTCTCTACATCTCTAGCTACACTCCTACCTTCTCATAATACCTGAGTTTGCAATGCAACACATTCACTTTACCCTGTTTAAAAAATACAAGTCGTCAGAGGACTTGGTGCAGCAGATATTAAGAATGACTGTCCGGTGAGCCAGATTCTGGTTCGGTACATGAGCTTCTTCCTTACTCGTCACTTCAGTAAGGCTTTTCTGCTCCCTACAGCAAACGGGTCATTTGCTAACGCATACTGCTGCCAATCAACCTTCGTAAAATTCACTTTATACAACAGAAAGTAGAACATTCTTGTCCATTCATCGTGATAAATGAACTTAGGTATTTTGCTGTTGCTGGTACAGCGTTAGTCTTGGGAGTCTGTTTTGGACAAACACAGAATATCTAATAGATTATTTTTGTTGGGTATTTGGCAATAAGATGACCACTTTTATGTACACTAATTAAAACAAACTCTTACTCATCAACAGATTATAACAATCCAGTAACTGTAGAATAAAATTACTCCTATGCAATTTTAACAATTCCTTGAGTGTATAAAACAGCAAGCCAGAAGATAACCCGTAATAAAAAGATCATATCAAGCTATTTGGAAATTAAACTTAAAAGCTGAGAAATACTTCCTAACTTACAAACAGATAGACTAAAATCTTCCCATTTACACTTGAGGTATAGGCTGTATGCAGAAGGCTTTCCTGAGAAATACGCGCTTGTCTCGTTGGACAGTCAGAAAGTAAACGGGACTGACGGCACCACCTTTGGATTGCGAAGCTCCTTCCAGCTGAACCTTTTTTTCCAGCGCTTCCCCGTAACGTCCTACTTCAATAACGACAAGTGAGCAGCCAGCGGGCTTCCGAGAAGGGAAACCGCCAAGCTGGAAGATGGCCCAGCGGGACCGCCAGGGTCCCCGAGGAGAGCTCCGACCGCAGCCGGGACACGGCACCGCGGCTTAAAGCCAGAGACGTGCCAAGCCAGCGGGTCACAGCGCCCCTCGGGCTGCGGCGGAGGGAGCGCCCGCTGGGCGCAGGGGGAGGAAAGACGACTTTGGTGAAGGAGATTTTTCTCCTGTTCACCGTCACATTCATCTCGCAGCAGCTCCGGCACCTGCGAGCGGCGCTCGCGCTGTGCCGCACAGCCGGCATCAGGACAAGACAAGGAGGCAGCAACTGGTCTCTCCTACCCTGAAAGGACAGAAGTCGTTTCCCCAAATATTTTCAAAACAGCATTCGAACACTTTTGGTGAACCCTCTTGCTACACCAACACCAGATTCACACCTAAGGACACAGGGAAGGAAATCCCGCCAGGGCGACACGGCTGCCTAGGAGAGCGACTGAGTCTTCGAAAGCTAATTCTTGATGAAGGAGACGAGAACAAGAGCATCTCATCCGACCTCCCCACCAGCACCACGAGCAGGAAGCCACGAGGTTACTCACGACAACACCCAAGCTTAGACAAACACCAGCACTTGGCAATTACTCAAATAGCCACCCAGTCGTCATTAAACCAGTTCTCCACGCGGTGAGTGGTGCGGAGGTTACGAGATGGAGAATCCAAGCCCTGCAACACCTCGGACAGAACAAGCATTCACACCGGCTTTCCTGCTAAGAAGGGATTCCACGAGCAGCAGAACAGCCCTGGCAGATTAGGACTATGGCTCACGCATTCCCCGAGTCCAGCAGAGAACGCCGTGCCAGAGGACGCTGGAGTCCCTTACCCCGCTGCACAGGTCACATTTAACCACGGGGCACGTTAACTGCTCCCAGAAACGGGCCGCTCGGGACTGCTGCAACGCGGAAGCCTCCTCAGTAGTCAGACACCACCCTGGAGGAACACACTAAAAGGGGCAATCCTGCCTCTTCTCCAAGTAGGTGTTTCCTGCTTTTGTGAACCTAAAATGGATGACAAGGAAGCGATGAGGAATTACTTGCAGTTCTCTAGCAACAAGAGTGCCTCTGCGTAACGCCAGGAGCCTGCTACGAACTGCAGCCACGCAGCTTCAGTCGAACGGAAAGGTGTGCAGCGACAGCGAGGGGCCAGCTGGTCAGGCTGGGGCTGGGGGCAGAGCCCACTCCTGCAGCTCCCCAGGAGGGGACGGGGGCAGTGAGCCCCTCACAGCTCGGGAGCACCACGGTCCCGCTGGGGCAGGACTCGCGGAAACCGCAGGAGCTGCCACCTGCATCTGCAACCTGCCAAGGGAAAAGAAACCGACTGGCTAGACAGACTTTTCCTCCTTCCCCAGTCCCTGCCTTTTTAAAATTACCACTACAATTAAAGAATAAAAGCTTGGCACTTCTCTAACACCCACTTCTCCAAAATTCTTTGCCCATTTGGGATTCTAACAGCTCTGCCGACGCGGTGAGGCCGTTTGCTCTCTACGACAAACGCTTGCGGATACGAATCATGGAAAGAGCAAGTGCGCGAACAGCATCTTCTCCTTGAGGTAGTCTTAGTCATCTCGGTCCCCAGCCCCCCAGTACAAAAGAACTAACCCTAACAAACACTGTAACATTAAACATCTTCACATTCTGTAAACCGCTGGAGAATGCATCTGCTGCATTCATACAGAACCATGTGCATCGTGTTGAAGATCATACATTCAACTCTGTCGTGAAATAAATATATAGGAAAAAGAGTAAAAAAACAAAAACAAACAAAAAAGATTCTTGCTACAACAGCAGGGCTGCCCGCCGCCCGTCTCCTGCCCGGATCACGTTGGCCCCTCTCCCGGGGTGAGCCAGCTCCCTGCCTGAGGCACAGCGTAAGGCACCGGCCGGGCGAGCCGGGCTCACTCTTTGCTCACGCTCGTCTTGCAGGAATGTAGAACGGCCTTAAAAAGGAGAGGCAGCTGCTCCAGGGGGACATTCACCATTTTTCCTGGTAAGAAAAAAAAACAGAATTAGCAGCCACTCCTGAATCAGATTTCAGAGACACCTAAGCCAGCAACGCCGGAGATGGTTTTACCTTGAACCTCTCAGAGAAACAGTTAATCATCCTACTGCTACATTAGACATTTGATATTCATTTGGACACAACAGGATTTATTATTTACTGAAATCGAAAGCAAAATAAATGGTCAAAGTCAGATCAAAATGATTTCTCCACAATGGAGCAGTATTTATAGAAACTGGGAAAGACTAAATCCCACCTCTCCTCAAACTCCCTTGTTGATCTCAATGAGCAAATTACAAGAGCTACTCTGTGATTATTGCCTGGTTCGTTACAAGGCAGCAGGATGAAGCACACGGAGCCTTGACACAGGGAGGCAAGTTCTCCCTTTGCCATAACATTCAGGAACAAACAACCTTTTAGTAACACCAGACCTTGTAGACCTAATTAGTGACACGACTGCATTTGAAAATGCCCTGCGGATTTCAGAGGTCCAGACGAGCTGAAACCTGGGGGTTACGCTGCAGAACCGCCCGCCGCTCTGCTCATCATCTGCTCCTTAATTACGCGGCATTTCAGGGACCTCTCTATTTCTTACAAGGTAACTCGTCAAGCCAGGATGACGCCCTTTTGAGACAAAATGCCTCTGAGTTGGGATTGAAAAGAAGAAAATGAAACAAGAACCTGACCAAAGTACTTAAAGGGTGGCAGGTCAGAGCAAGGCACATCTTGGGGGCAGGGGACTCGGGACGTAACACTGCATCCACCAGCGTCACAGGGACAACCTAGAAGGAGCCCATCGAGCTGGGTGAGCTGGGGGTGATGGGAGATCGGCTTAAAGGTGGGGGAGAAGCTCCACAAACATCCTCCACCAAAGTCAGTGAGGATTTCACTGTTATAAATTTCCTTTTAAAAGCAAATTTCATAACTTGTACCCAATCTCAGCGGGGGAAGAGCTCAAAAAGTTACCTGCGATATATCGTATCTCTGGCAAACACATCATTAAATCCGGAAAACGGTTTGGCTGGTGTGGGTATTTGTACTCGGTGAAGTCCTGGCAAACATACCAATACCGCTTGTTCAGCTGCTCCAGCTGGGACGCGTTAGTGAGACCCCTGATGTCTGCAAGCGAATACGATGACAGAGTCAAGAAAACATGACGAAAACATCCTAGAAAAGCAGCAAACCCGCACTGACTGCCATTTCTCCAGGGAAGACAAACTGACTGCTAAAACCGTAAGGTGGGTCCCCGCTTTGGAGACCGGCTTCGAGTGCCCAGCCGGACAGGTACCGAAAGTCCCGTCTCCCCCCGACGCGCCTGCATTGGGGATGCGTCTACACGTGTGTCTGGGTACAGGATTTCCTTCCACGAAAGACCAGGGTGAGAACAGCTCGCGTCCTAAGCTGCTCATCGGCAGAGCTCAATGGATGCTCGGGGAGATAACAGCTCCAGCAACCCTAAATCCCTGCCTGCCTGGTGTAACGCAGCTGCGTGTCAAGGTTCAGGCCTCACAGCGGATTCAGTGTAATACTCCCTCAGGCAGAAACACGTTGATTTTAGCTACATCATCTTGGCCGAGGAAAGCGCTCAACTCTATAATTCAAGGTATCATCATATTTCTCCCCATCTGCTTATGAATTATGTCATATGAGCTTTATAAACTTGTCACCTTCTTATTTTTAAATCTAGCTTTGCCAATGTCAGGCAGCACACACAAAGGAAAAATGGACGTTTCCAAGCCATCAAGCTGGCAGGAAGGCCCACTGCCAGCGCTCGGCGTGATCGACGGCACCAACGCGCTGCTGGGGGTCCTGGGAAGGATCCAGCGTGGGGAGCAAGGAAGCTGCGGACCCTTGGTGCAGGCTCGGTACTGGAAGACCATCTGACGGAAGAGGCATTTATCCACTGCCCAAAAGCTGACTTTCAAAAATAATTCTCAGGTATTTCACATAAAAAATTGCAAACTTCAACTAAAAATAAAAGAAGACAGGAAGTTAATGAAAATACATTTTGGAAAACAATGGAGCCAGCTCGAGAAGTGTATTATCCAGTGTCAGGAAACTGCCCAGGGAAGCAAACCGGAACCTCAGCCCGGCACAGATTGAAGCGTCAGCACTATCTCCTGCTGGAAACGAGTGGGGGAGGAGGGAGCCTGCAGCACATTTTCACAGACCGCAACTATCTTTCACAGCACAAAAGACTTTGGGGACATTTATTTCCAAAATTACACTGAACACCATCCGTTAAGCATTTGCCTCTCAACAGTCGTCTTCATTTACAACGGGAAGAAATGTCCTGCAAGGCCCCACAGACACGGGGCCACAACAAACACCCGGGGAAGGGGATCCACAAGCAGTGGATTGAGACAGTGGGCAAGGGTGGAGACAGGGACAAGCACTGAAGAACAAAACTGATCTGTTCCAAACTATTTCAGCCCACTACGGTTGTTGGGAACTGACCAGGATCTTCTCACGTGTTGAAGAATCCCTCTGCATGGATTCTGAAACGTGCAGGGTCTTGCAGCAGCCTGGACTGCCAGCTTTAATGCACTAGTTAATCGACAGAAGGATACCGTCCCTTCTCAGGCAGAATTCATTGCCTCCACATAAATACTTCATTCATGATTACTTTTCACTTTGAACAGTGAGCATTAGGTACAAAATCTCAAAAGCAAGAAGCCAGCTAGGTGACCTAAGTATATATCCTCAATGTAGACATTTTAAAGAGTCAGAAAAGCTCTAAAAAAAGGGAGGACTGATTTTACAAATTTACCCTTAAAGCAGAAAAATGAACAATTATATTTTCTAGTTGGGAATCTTTGAAAGGCTGTTATGCAAACAGTCAATGTTTACTTCAGGAAGAAAAGTCACGTGAATTAACTGGTTTTAAAGTACCACCTAGTTAATTGCCTAAACAGTTACCTAAAGCAGTAATGCTTTCAGATGACACACCTTTGTCTGATGAAAAGTTTGTCAGCAGCTTGTAAGTCACCACTCCCCCAAACCTGACCCAGAAAGGTTTCACCAGCCTCTCTGCTCTGTTCTTACTCTGGTACTGGCACCCCTGGCACCCATGTAAAACAACACGCTGACTGTCCTTGGTGCCTATAGTCAAAGGCAATAAAAACCGTCTAAGCAAATGAATTCATTCACTTCCAGGATTTCTTCACGTGGGCACCCACGTGTATCCCACTCTGCACGACAGCGAACACGTACAGAGAGGTCTCAGAGCTCGCGCGTCTCCGTGGTCTCGGACCCCGTCTTCCCATTTCTCATCAGGGAAGCAAAGGCTGCTCAGACGGTTTCACAGCATTTCTCCAGTGGGGCAAATACCTTCTCTTCATCAACTCACCTTGATTTAGGAAGTTAATGGCTTTCATGCACGCGTACTCCTCATTGCTGACCTTCAACTGGTTAAATTTGCGAAAGAGGTAGATCAACCGCTCCATCACCTCCATCCCCTCTTCACTGAATCTGGAGGACAGAGATCACACATCAACGTATGCAGGACACAGGCTGCGCAATAAAGGCCAGAAGCTTATTAAAATAACTTCAGAGATTTTAACATCTTGCAAGAGAATTAAAAAAAATCATCATCAAGACTGCTTGAAGCCTGCTGGCACCATTAAACTGAAGCAGAAGGAAAAGGACTCAGTTACAATCTTGACTGCTACAGGTACTTTAGCAAAGAACCATCTCTTGGTGATTCAGCTCATCACCAGCCTGCTCTGACAGCGGAAAAGGGTTGATGGAGCCAGGAATACGCAAAAACTCCTTGCGTGCTTGCAGGCACGCTGCTTTGCCTCTCCGCGCTTCTATTTGCCCAGGTTTCAATGGGGATTGTGCCTCTGCCCTTCACCGGGCTAAGGGGAGGTTTAACTAAGCCATTTGGGGAATGAGAGGAGATCTCACAGAAATGTGGAGCGATCCTGGTCTCGTAGGACATGAAAACATCCTGCAAGACGCCCGCTGCCCCCCAGATGCAAGGGTCGGCAGGTATCCCCCTCTGCCTGGTGGTGCGCTGCCTCTATCCCCCACAGCAAGCAGCTCGCAGCCACGCTGTACAGCACTGCGCCTTACTCCTGACGGGTGTTTTTGCAGGATCAGAGCACCCCTAACATACCGCAGGAAGGCTGGGATCCCTCTCACGAATACAAATACGCACGAAACCACAAACAGCCAGTGTTGAAGGGAGAGAAAGTGCAGGCTCTGGTCTAAGGTTGAATCGCGCAGCCTAAGGAACACGTGCCGTTTCCTTCCAAAGCTTCCCCCTCAAACAGGACGTGCCGCATTCACTGCACTTGATAAACGCACAGCCAGACCCAACCAGAAAAGCACTGCCGCTAGAGTGGACCGTCAGGGATCCCCCGGGGCCCCCCCATCCGTACCAGCCCTGGAGGATCTCACCACCCAGCCACGCTCATTTCTGGCTCTCTGCTGAAAACAAGCTGCACATTGCTCCTGAGCGTCCACCCTGGCCAAGGGAAGCCAGCGACAGAGACGGGCAGGAGAGGGCACGCCGAGGCACGGGGAGCGTAAATCTCCCCACAACCTCCCGGGAAATTGCCCGATGGGAGATTTTGCGGGTGCCGAACGAGATCCTCCTGCCGAAGGGGGTGCCGGGCTGCTTCTTCAGGAGCGAAACCCCCGCGTGTGCACCATGAAAAAGCCACGGCGTAAGGAACAGGCAGAAGTGGAGCTGGAGGGCACGCCCCGGGTCCATCCCCCGCGTGCCAACGGCCTCTCGGCAACACATCTCACAGCAATCGCCCCGGTTTCAAAGAAATTGCATATTGCAAAAATGCTCAGAAGTGGGACAGGAGTGTTTAGGGAAGCTTCAGCTGTGCTCTGGCATTGTACAGCACAAAGAACAAGAGCACAGCCAGAAAGCCATCGTTGAATAGAACAGAAATAGAACCTTCTTCACTGAAAAATACCTTATTTTGGCATGTGTGTTTGTTTACTTCAAAGTTATTTGTAAAATGCATGGTGGAGTTTGACCCCAGAGAAGAGAAAACAAGCTATCTGAACTCCAGGTCACTTCTTCAAGAAAGTAATATTGTAAGCGATGAAAGCCTTGTCGGCTAATCTAAAGTTGTACAAGTTTTCTTGCTCTCAAGTTGACATTAAAAATCTTGCAGGTGCAAGATCGCAAAGCTCAAGAAGTTAATGAGCACAAAGACCACTCAGTTGTCTGTTGGGTTTAATTGTTTTTATAGCATGCACATTTTTACCAGCCACTCATCACTTCATAAATCCAGGAGAGCTCTTCTCTCATTCCTGCAGTTGAACTGTCTTACTTTTCTGCGCATACTTTCCTCCCCCTTTCAAACAAAGCTGTTCTGTTTTTCACAGCCCTGTTTCTTCTCGAGGCCTGACTCCTCCACACACTTTTCCTCGCAGTTTACACCAGGCAAGTTCCTGGCTGGGAGTTATCGGGATCGGCCGGGGAGGAGGGGGAAGGGAAGCGCTATCAGGAGTGCTGGGGGAGGTCAGGAATCTATTCATTTCATATTCATCTTCAGAAAAACAGCACAATAAAAGAAAACATTTGCTCTAGCAGGTGAACAGAACATTTAGCCAGCGGTTAGAAGGGATTAAAACAGGGGCCGAGGAGCTCGTCCTAAGCCTTCCTTCATCACCCACCTCAGCATTAGCATCGCTTCTGTCATTTTGCTAAATCAGAACAGAAATTAACCCCAGAGCGCCAGATTATCACAGCTCAGCGAGGCTTCTGCAACCACCCACGAGACCTAAAGAACCCCCGTTTGCAACCGCCACCGATGGACGCCAGAGCTCTCTGAAGAGAGGGGCTCGGCGAGGAAACGTCCCGCCAAAGGAGCCCCTCTCAGATCCAAAGGGACCAGCTTTTCCACGCGTGCGTCGGACAGGGAGCCCGATACCCACAAACTGCCCCACTGCCACCTGCAGTCACGCTGTGGCTGAACGACCCCAGAGACCACCGGGAGGGAGGGAGGGAGCCGTGCAGCTGGAGACCCTCATCCGCGCAGCTTCCCGCTAAATGGCTTTTTTGGTGTGCGTCTTCCCATGTTACTAATGACAATTAACGATACCTGGAAAGCTAAGTCAGAAGAAGGGATTACAGAAAAATTCTGCTCCCAAGAACACCTATTTCCATCCACGTGCACAGATCTTCTCTGAAGGACTTTTGAGGCGACCAGCTCTGAATTGCGGTTTCTGAAGGGCGAGGATTCCTCCTTTGTCTTGTTTTCTTACCTCTCACTCGTATTTCTCGCAAACCCAAAATGAAACAAACACTTCTCTTTTGAGGCTCTGATCAGGACAGCAGGAACAAGAGGACGGCTGAATGCGGGAACAAGTGTTATTGTGGTTTTCTATGACCCTCACTGTTCCTCGCAGGAGCAGCACCAGATGCACGATGAATGGCCGGGCAGAACAGTGCCGTGGAGGAACCTGTCCCAGGAAAAGAGACACCTGGGGCCAGCTCTCGGCTCCTCCACTCCTCCGCTGTGGTCATCAGCCAGCCAGCTCCTCCGGTTGTCAAAACAGACGCACAAAGGGACCTCAAGGAACCATTAGATACGGCGATGGCTGAAGACCACAGCAGTATTTTAACTCTCTGCTCATCAGACACTTAGATCCCCTGGCGACTGCTGACAAATCACCAAGCCTAGCAAGGGCAGAGCACAAACGGGGCAGATGTTAAAAGGGAGGGTGGGCAGCAGTTTCCGTAAATCCTACCTATTCCGCCATAGTATTGTGAGATTGTGAGTCTGCTACCAAAAGGAGGGTCTGTCTGGCACCAAGACTACAAAAACAAAACACCCAAACCAAAAAAACAACACCCTGACCAAAATGATAAATGAAAGGCAGGTTCCTCAGAGCATCAGATAGCACGTACTATGGAAAAAACAAGCGCGAAGTTGCAACATCTTTAAATTTATGTAATCAAAACAATGAAATAGCAATTAATAATGAGCACTTTGATAATACAGATAACCAGCTTTGTGAACAACCTTTCCACTGGCCCAAAGAGTTTTTAAGTTAGACCTTCCGTTCTGTATCTCAGGGTTACCCGAAGTGTGGGTTGGTTTTACTCTCCCCATAAAAACGGTGGTTTGTAGGGCTGTGCTGGAGGATGACAGCACCGCTACGGGGACTGCCAAAAGCACCACACAGCACCACGCCCCTTCCCCTGCAGGAGGAGGTTTTGATCCGACACTGACTAACCACAGCGTGCTTTCTAAGCCTGGAACGGCCGTTCCCTAAAAAGCAGAAAAGGAAAACAGCTGCAGGTGAAGCGACCTGTCCCAGGAGAGGTGGTCAGGCAGTCACAGGGTGCCCCACCACCACCCTCCAGACGGCTCCTCCATCCCTAGACCTCACTCCCTTGCCCATGAGCTCAGCTCGACGTCTCACCTGTGCAGCTCATCGTCAGAGGGAGAGTACTTGGAGGTGACGTCCGCAAGGTCACCAAAGATCTGCTTGCTGTAAACTGTCAGTGAGGAGAGCAGGATCAGCTCCTGCCATGTGGAGCTGAGCAGGCAGGTATAGTCCTTGATGGACAGTTCGCAGAAGAACGGCAGCTTCTTGATCCAAGCAATCTGCCTGAAAAGCAATTCATCCGCCAGACGACACAACAACGCAAACAGCTCTGCCTGAGTCACTTTATACCTGCAGGCACAGTTAATACGAAGGCATAAAAACAATTAACAACATCGAATGAGACCATCTGACGAGGCACCTGAAAAGCAAGGCAAATGCCACAGGAACTGGTGCGACACCGACGTGCTGGTGTCCAGAGTGT